CAGCCACAGGGACTATACCTAATTTAAAGAAGCTGTAACTGCCAGTGTTCATGTATGTATTTTTCTTAAACATTTCTAACTATAGTTATCAAGTGAAATAATAAATTGTATTCCCCCTTGTTCTCCTGCAGGGACTGTGCCTAATGCTGGAATTACTGACATCTGTACATCATTTCAGTGGCAAATTACAGCTGGGACATGCTAACCCCAAAGTGTGAGTAAGAGCTGCTCCTAAATGATTGGAAACTTCTTGGCAATTTATTGTTGAATTATAATAATTAGCTTAGTCTTCATTCTCTTTTGATAGTTGTGCAGAATCTGTGCTATTTTCTTAGCACCAGAATTGATTGTTTAATCAGCAAGAAGAATGGTCTTTCTGGTGCAGATTAGATTTCAACTAAGCCTCATTTTGTGTTAATTGTCTCATTGACAACTTCCTCTCCTTCTCTCCTTCCCCCATATAAGCAGAGGAATAATGGAAACCTGGAATTAATATTTCCATGGAGATGATGTAATTTCCTGAGTTGCTCCAAAATAATCTGAATTTCAAAACTCTTTTAGCTACTAATTTGAGGGAAACTATAATAAATAATACAAATATATTAATGGCTAAAACATGTTATCTCATTATAGATAACTTATGCCCAGTTCTCTAATAATGTATTCTGTGTTTGCCTAACAAGAAATTGAAACTCAAATTTTGTGCTGTTTATCTCTGTTGCCAGTGAATAAGATTAGAGTAACTGTTTATACATCTGTTAAAAGCTATTCTCCTTGAAAACAATGAATATAATAATGAATAACGAGTTTTTCATTCATGGGATGGTGGACAAATTGTAAAGAGGTTAGAAATAAACTTTATTTTTCAAAATGAATGGGTTCCAGCCCTTGTATGCATGTCATGACTATCCAAGGAAAAGTAAAATTAAAGCTTTTTTAGACAAGGGCTGAAAATTTAAATAGCAGTCTAAGATTCACATGCTGCAGGGAATTTGGCTTTTGACTGCCACACTTTGTATTGTTCAGCTGGTGTAATAATAATAATTATGAGATAGCTTTGTTCACCATGGAAAACATGTTTTAATAATTCTGTGCTGCTTACCAGGAGTGAGATTAAATAAATGGTCCATGGGGCAGATGAATGAGACTTTTACTGACTTCATTAAGAGTATCAAATGCTTAATTGAGAAACCATAAGGAAATTCAGAAAAACTGTTTGAAGTAATCATTCTCTTTGGAGATGCCTGAATTCTAAAAGTTGGGAAAGCTTCTGAAACTTCTCAACAAATTATATTTTGTAAGTGTGAAGTAGAATTTGAGGTACAACAGATAGAAGAAATAGAAATGAGAAATTTTTAGGAGATGATCCTTGTTGTATCTTTTATCTATAAAAGATATATAATTCTATATGTGCAAGCACAATGCTTAGGGACATGGTTGAGTGGTGGAGTTTCTGGTTTAAGGTTTATGGTTGGGTTTCATGATCTTAAGGGACTTTTCCAATTTAAAAGATTCTGGGTCTCCAAAAAATAATTCTCTAAAATATCTAAAATAAGATGAAATTTAGATATATTTCCAAAATTCTGGGAGTTTATACAGACAATAGTTGGCTCTATCTCCAGTGGTTTGAGATTATATTATATGCAGGTTAAAAGCATTGTTTCTTCTTCTTATTAAGAATAATATTATAATATTATAAATAGTATAATATAAATAACATTATTATCTTATTCCATTGAGTATTTCTGTTCTACTTGACTCACCTTTAACAGTTTTTAAGTGGTTTTCAACAAGTTACATTGCAAGTGTCAGTTTCAAATAGTCTTTGACTCCTAACTGACAAATCTGTACCCTTTCTAGAGTGAAAGAAATAATGTTCTAAAAATGGGAAATATCATTATTATTTCACTATGTAAATTTGGTTCATAGTTCCCCTTTCCTTTTTTTCAGTTTTTTTGTTGAGTTGTTTTAATTCCCCTGTGATTCCAGATATTTTTGTAAGCTCCTAATATATAACACTTCAGCATATTTGTCAGTTTAAGGACATTAATGAAGTTGTCTCTGTCCAGAAAAATCAACTTTACATGTGCTTAATTATCATATCAATTAAGTATTTTTTTTTATTCTGTACATGCCTGTCTAGAAGAGAGAAAATTTAAGTTAATTCAGCAGGTCTGAGAACACTGATGGAGTCTCAATTTTAGCACAGATTTTTTGCTACATTATAATTGTAATTGTAAAATTGTAAGTATTTTATCTTTCTAAAACACACCACAAATAACCCTAGTACTTTTCTAGCACTGGTAATCATTCTGTGCTCACTTGCTTTTAATTTCAACATTTGTTCACTCTTTGGGAATAACCACAAACACCAGAATTGTACAAGATTTCTATAATTAAGAGTCCCCTCCCTTTTATATCATAACTTTAAATATTAATGGGAAACCAATTCAGAATCAGCTTCTGGTTGTTTGTAGGAAGATCCCCTAGTGACATATGGAGCTGTTATGAATGGTGGGCATAGGAGAAGAGTTTAGTTAATAGTCTTTGAAGACTTCCCAGAAATTAAATTTTCATAGCGAGTGTTGAACTTGGATTTTCCCTTATAGAAAACATTAAAGGAACCAAAGAAATTAAAATACATATAGGCTGCATAGGGCCTGATAGATTAGCATGAGAGTTCTGTTCTAGTTTAGAACAACAATCCAGTGTCTTTGTCTTCTTGAAGCAGCAATAAAATTCTAAATCTATTATTATCCTGAAATGATAATATAATATAATATAATATAATATAATATAATATAATATAATATAATATAATATAATATAATATAATATAATATAATATAATATAATATATCATCATATCATATCATATCTCAGAAACTTTCATGGAAGTTACACTGATCATTAAGTCAAATATCACCAGCTGTGGACAGAAGCCTAAATAATGTGAAAGATATGACAAAATCAAACCTGAACACGAGTCATACAATTACTAGCTCATTTATACTAAAAAAAAAAACCCTGGGCTTAAAATCAAAAATATGGATTATGAAAACCATCAGTGTGATTTTTTTCTGTTTTGTGGAAGTCTTACAGTCCTTGCTGCTCGATTTCCAATGAGGGAAATGGTTTACTCTTACTGAAATTGTGTCTGGAATGAGTTTCCATCCATAATCTCTCAATATAAATATATTTTAGCACATATTGTATAGGTATATATTTCTATACACACATTTCTCTATGTGTGTGTTTATACATATATCTATCTCTCCATCTGCAGGTATGTAAATATTTTTATTTTAATCACTCAAGCATGCAGTTCTGTCAGGCAGCCCATGCACTGAAGTGCTTATTTGCAAGACAAGGGACTAAATATTGAGAGAACATGTTCAAAATTGAATGGTCTATGTAAGTTTTGTTTTATGCTAGACTGGATGTGAAAAAATATCTGTTTTGTATAAAATATTAAGAGGCAAAAGGGCAACAGAGGCCATGTGACTGAAACAGCTTGTTTTATTTCAAGTACCCTGGATCAATATCTTTTTCCCCCACTTTCATTCCCAAACTAATCCTAAAAATAGGTAGTGTCAAAGTGTTGTACAGTTAAGATATTTTTATAGGACTGTTGTGTGCAAGATCATTTTTATTATTAACATGAATATGTATGTGTATATTTTTGTCATTTATCAAAGGTGAAAAAAAAAATTAATGTTATGATATTCTACTTAAGTAAGAATATATTTCAATTGTTCATGATCAGTGAATGATAACAGCTGATACTATAAGTAAATAGTTCACATATGATTTGCTTCTGCATCAAACATTTTCAGAATCATAATTCTTATCTTAATTTGAGGGAAAAAAATTAGACCCTGGATAAAAATTCCCTTCACTTTTATTAATAAATTAAGATAATAAGCAGTCTGATTAAAAAAATCTGTTAGACATGTATGCTCCAAATACTGTGCTTAGAAATCTTTGTAAAAAGTGAAGGACAAACAGGTGCATTTTACCAGCTACAATTATCTAAAGGTTTGTCAGAAAGAGAGGATTTGGCTTTATATCTTCAGATGATTTAACTTAGAATATTCCTCTGCAGTCACAGTCCAGGAGCAGAAATGTGTATTCAAGCAGGAGCTGTACCTGTGGCCACAAATGTAGGATGCAGCAAAATTTCCTTCTCCCTTTGTGCCAGTCTGGCATAATAAGGAAACTCAGAAATATTTCATGATATGCACTGAGATGTAAGAACTATTTTTATATCCTGAATGGATTTTAATGGCTTTGGAAGAAAAGTGCTCCTTCTTTTCATCCTGTGTACACAAAAATTCTGAATGTTACCACACTGAGATAGGAATCCTTCTGAATATTTAATGAGGATGTGCTATGTGCTACTGACAACTCAAAAAAAAAAAGCAAAAGAGGCTACACAGAACTATTTTACCATCTATCTCCATCCCATTCAGTATTTTAACTTAAAAGAAAACCTGCTCTCTAAACTTTTTTAGATAGCTTTTCTTGTTTTAAAGTGGCCTGAACATGACTTTGGTGATATTGGCATTGAATTCGTAGTTGGGTCCTTCATGGGATTTTTATTATTTTGTTTTTGTTTTGGGGTTCTGTTTTTTGGAGTTTTTTAATCTTGAAAGGCAAGTTTCACTCTGACAGTAAATTTCATTCTGGTGAATTGAATTTAATGAGGGTGAGTTCTTCCACCATTTAAGACAGAGTTTGTTGGGGTTTTTTTAAAGTTTGGTTAGTGGTTTTGTTGTTGTTTTGGTTGGTTTGGTTTGTGTTTATTGGGGTTTTTTTGTTGTTTTTTGGGGGGAAGGGGGTTTGGTTGTTCGGCCTTTGTTGTTTTTTTTCTTTTTCTTTGGTAATGATATTTGTATTTTCCATATTTTCTGAAAGTAATGCTGCTTTGTAGCCTGGATCTCTATCTGGTGATTTTTATTTTCACGGAGCTTCCTAATTTCTTTTGCATTTTTAAGAAAATAAAGATCCCAGACACCATCAAAGCTGTTACAGGTCTCCAGGAATATCTCTATTTCAGTCTCAGATGTGATGACATCTAAGCACTGGCTGGGAACCACTCTTCTCATCAGTACATACCATCAGGTGAATATTGTTTTTTTCTTTGGGGGAAAATCTGTTTGTTTATTTTTCCTCCTTTTTTCACTTCCCAGGTCTTCAACTAAAGTTAATGAAGCACTCTAAGTCCCAATTTGTGTTTTAAAGCCCTAAGTCAGAAAATAATAATAATAAAAAAGACATTTGAGAAGTTTTGCACTTTTTTTCCCTGACTTTGACATCAGCAAGAGAGGTCCTCTTAGAGCACCATAAAGTATTCTCTAAACTAGAAGTCATTCTCTTTTTTAATTAAAAATCTTTGACCCCATATTTTTCCTACAATAAGCTTCTGTTCTATTACCTTTATATTTTCAAAGCTTGTGTTCTGAAAAACAGAGTGAAGCATAAATTGTGTGCAAACAAAGAAAGCCTGACCAAAAAGCCATCTTTGAAAGAAATGAGTGTTTTTTGATGTTTAAGATGACAAACAAGTGCTCTTCATAAAGGAAGGCAGCAGGATCTGACTCATGAAGGGTAATGAGGTTTGGAAGGCATCCTGGAGGTTTGTACATCTCCTTGGATGAATATCCTTCTAAAAAGTGAATAGCAAGGGGGTTGTTCCTGCCCTCAGAGCCCCTCCTGTGGCCAGCATAACTTTTGGCCTTGATTTCAGAAATTGCAGTGCAAGAACAGCCTGCCATAACTCCTGTGTGCTCTGCTCTGTGCCTGATGCCCTCTGCCAGCTGAAATAACCTGGGCCACACCAGCTTCAGGTGGGGAGGGAGAGGGAACAGTGATTTGGCATGCCAGTTGTAGCCTGGCTTTTATTAACCAAACTCAACACTGCAGGCTTTTAAGGGCCATTCAGAGCCTGGGCTGAGCTGGTCACTAAATTGCTGCCTAGAGGAACACTGTCTCCTCTCCCCTCAGCTGGCTGGAGGATTGAGGGGTGATCAATCCCCCAGGATAAAGGTATCCTTGGAGACTATTCTTGACATGTCACCAGTGACAGGCACCCTGTCCTTCCATGCCATGGGATGCTCCCAAACCTCAGGAGGCTCTGGGCACCCCTTTGGTCCCCAACCCAGTGTGGGACTGTGTTTGTGTGACAGCAGCCATGCACAGAAACATGCTGTGTGTGTGTTTGATGAATGTTCCAAATCTGGGTCAAACAATATTTGCTTGGGCACGGAGAAAGTCTGGGAATTTGATCTTGGCATGCGCCTGGAGCCAAAAATATAGCACAGCAAATGGGCATAGGAAAGACCTGGCTGAAATTCACCCCTGTTATCCCAAATGTCACTCTGAATGTTCTCAGAGACTTGTAGGCTCCCAGAAGACTCAGTTGTGCCAGTGGTATCTGAATGTAATGAAGCTGACCTGTCAGAGGCACATCCCAGTCAGCACGTTAATTCACTCGCTTTACAGATGTGGTTCTTCAAAAGATCTTTGTAATATAGATTTCTGTGATTTAAACTTTGAATTGCCACCCTCTGCAGTATCTCTCACAGTTTGTGTCCCATTAAACATACCTGCAAGCCTGCTTAAGAATGCAATTAAATTGCTGCTACTGGAGGGATACTTTAGTGTCAGTCAGGAAAACATATTCACAATTGGGAAGCAGTGTCTGATTTCTCAGATTTCTCTTTTGCTCTAGCAAAAGTCCCATCAGTTTTTCTGTAAGATAATGTAACAAGGGTATCTAGAGTGTGGGTGTAAACTTACATTCTGTTTGTTCAAAGAACAAACTGCACTTAGGCTGGCCCTCAATCCACAGTTATCTCTTAAAAGTTCTCCTTTGTACATTGAAAAGATATGTGATAGCAGATGCCAAATTCAGCTTTTTAAACCATACCTAGAGTGAATAGCTAATAACCTCCTGATTCATCACTGCTGCGTGTTTCAAGCTTTGCAGGTGACTTCGTTTTTGAGACTGAAATACCTATTTATTTTTTTTAATCAATTGTGTTTAGATCAGTATCTGCTGCCTATGAAACTTGTTTGGATTAAGATTTCATTATGAATGGCCCAGATTCATTTAAGAGGTTGTCTTAAAATCTCTCTGATAGAGTTGGGCAATTTATGATTATATTTCAGAGCCAGCTGCTGACTACAGAGTGAAATCAAAACCACCTCACAATTCAGTTTTGTTTGGCTTAAAGTTTAGATGCAGTTCACAGAAAAGAAGGGATGAACTCTCCACCCCAAGACTTGCTCATCCCTTTTGCAGCTGCAGAATACTGGAGAGCAATTATTATTAGAAATCCAACTGAAAATGTTGTTTTTCTCCTATACAGGGCCCTGTTTTAACTAATAAGTCCTTCTGTAATTATTGTGGTGGTGCTGTATTGCTAAAATATTCAAATATGAGTGACATTATGAGGAGTTCTCTGTGAGGAATAAGGAATCATGCCGCAATCATAAAGAGATAGCAATTTAAAGCAACTAAATTCAGATTATACATGAAAAAAGGGGAATTAAAATGCCTGGGATTTGTTCCAGTGTCTGCCCAGATACTCTTTATGGCATCAGTCTTTGTGGAGCCACTTCACAGTTTTTTCACATTCCCAAAGAGCAACCTACATTTGATTCAATGTACACCTGTGTAAAGCAAATTTAATTTCAAAACAATGCATCTAATCTATTCTTTTACTCAAAGAAAATGCAGCCTTGGTTGTTGTTTTGGGATTTTTTTTTCTTATTAATTAAGAGATGAACCATTATTTTTCTTTGATGTATATAATTTTCAGTTTCTAAAAAGATACACTGCATGAAAAATTTCACAAGCTCTAGTAGCACTTATGTTCTTGTGTCTTGCACTAGCACAGTCATGTCCAAAAAGCATGAAAGTTTAAGATGTGCTTTGTTTTCTTTTTAAAATCTTAGAAGAATTTTCTTTTTTTTGTTAAATCTGAGAGGCAAAACCAAGCTGTCTCTTTTAAATTTTTGAAGTACAGGTTCTTGGGAAATGCCATTGCTTTATTTTAGTTAATACAAACAATCATGAATAGCTAGAGGAAATAAGCAAAATGGAATGCTTATGCTCTTATTATATTAATAAACACATTATGAGTGAATCCTTGACAATTTAAAAATTTTTTTTTTGGTCTTATTTTTATTTCAGACCCTGGAATAAATCTGTGGCCAGAGTTCAGCTTGGATGGTGAAGCTGAAGCTACAGAGATAAGAAAGTGCCTGAAATGTCTCCATGTACCTGCACTATGGTCATGGAAAGCATGGAAATTATGGCAGTAGTGGATTCCCAGCCTTCAGACATTTGCTGCATTCTCCTTGTGCTGATCTTATGTATCTTAGCCCAGTATTAAATCTGACTGCCTGCAAAATAAAACCCTAGATTTATTTTCTGTTGTACATACAAAATGCTCAAGTGGTTGAGTAGACTGCATTTCATCCAGATTTAACATAAAGTTATTATCATTAAATAATCATTAAATGCTGCTGTGAATGAGATTTATACAGCAGTGATAAACTTACAGTCCCCATTAGGTTCTCTACACACTTTACAAACCCCAGCTCTAAAGGCAGAAAATATAAATGAAAACATAAGCTACAAAAATCACAGTACCATGCAGTTATTCTTTATTCTGAATTTAACTGCCTTGCAAGAGTTTTTAAAACCAGAAAATGGTCAGACATTGCCTATAGCTTTATCAGAAAAGTGCTTTCCTATCAAAAGAATATCTAACATGACAAAGGAAAACCCACCTATTCTCCACTAGTAACATGAGAATATAAATATTATTTAATAAAACCAGAAATTACTGGGATCACTGGAATACTTAAGAGGAAATAAACCATGCTCCACCCACATGAAGGCCATGAAACATTGGTGTGCATACCAATGTCTTAATTATCTATTCTATTTTGTGCTCTATTTAGGAATCAGGAATTGTTCTTCACTTTAAGCTCCAGTTCTCCTGTCTCAGTACCCTGTTAGTGCACTTTCCCTCTGAGGAAACCACTCATTCTGCACTTTTTGTCTCTGCAATTAGAAATGCCCAACGTGATGATGGATTTCTTCCTTCTCTGCTTCACCTCTGCACATTCAGTACTCCAAAAACCATTCAAGTTCCTCCCTTCTACATTAGCTAGATGAGCAGGTTGTTCCTGAAGTTCTGGGGATGGTTTGACTCAAAATCTTATTTGAGCATGAATGCTCACGTAGCCAGCAATGGACAGACATGTGGCTGAAGCCCCTGGTTCTAAAACCTAGAAAAGATGAGACAGAATTTGAAAATAATTATTAAGAGAAAAAAAAAACAACCCACAAACATTACTCTCTTAGGATGAGATATTGCTAAACAGAGGAGGTGCAAATAAATTTGAAAAAATATTGTGGAAGAGTCAAAGGAAGTCAAACATTTTTTGAAACTTGGCAAGTCTAGCTCACATCCTCTTGATTCTGGGTTCTTTTCACACAACACTGAGTACATTTAGGAGCTTCCAAATTTAATGGGGATTTTTAAATAATGCAACAGACTAAATCCTAAATTGGGGCCTGTCATTTCACATTTCTTTCAGTTACACAATGAAATCTGTAGGCTGCAAAAGAAGATCATGCAGTGCCCTGGGTGTAGGCATCTCTGCTTGCTGGAGAGATGGGTGAGCATTGGATAAATATGGGATGGCTGCTGCCTGCCTGCCTCCCTCCTGTGGCTGTCACTTCTGCCCCTCCAGAAAGATTGGGTGTCACTTCCACCCCCCTGGGATGCTGCAGAGCCACAGGAGTCACAGGTACATCCCACAGTCAGTCACCACATGAGAACAACTAATCTGCTGCACAGAGACACCCAGGAGGAGATAAAACTCACCTTCTAATTAATTACTCACGTGTTTGTTCAGAAATGGAGAGTCACCCAAATCCTGAGCTCTCAAGAACCAGCTAGCAGTGAGGTAAAACTGGTGCCTGCAAGGCTGTGGTGTGTGAAACAGAAAAAAGGGGTAAAACAAAGGAGTGTCACTTACTTAGGTCTTATCAAGAACTTCCATAGAGGTGCTGAACTTAAAATAAGGAATGATACCTGAGTAATTTTCAGATTTTTAAATAAGGCTAGACTATCCTGTAAATTTATTTCAAAAATGATTGTTCAAGTAATACCAGTTAATGAAGCTTGATCCTCAGGGAAAGGACTTCAATCCATGGTGGTTATTTGTTGTTCACCTCACACAAACTTTCTCTTAATCAATCCTTCAGGTTTTTTTGGTCCTTAATCCTTAATGGTCCTTAATGAAATGGTCTTCATTAGTTTTTGCCAATTTCTGAAATTGAAGAAAACAGCAAAGATCTCAAAACCACCTTGGCCCACTGTAGTTACTAATACAGTGGTATACTCCATTATTAATTTGGCTGAAATAAGCCTATACACAATGGAAATGAGGTCTTTAGGGGATTGTCTGTCTTTCTGAGCTTTCATCTGCCCTTCTGTGCATTGCAGCCTTGCTGAAGGATCTGCAATTCACTGTTGATGAGAGCAGCTGCCCTCAGGAAATGGTTCAAATGCTCCAAAGTGGCTATAGGCTTCTTCCTCGAGGAGTGAAAGGATCTGGGTAAAGGCACAAGAGACATCAGCTTGTAAGGCCATCCACAAAACCTTCCTTCAGATGTCAGAGTGGGGCAAATGTCTGAGAAGTGCTGGGATAAATGGAGAGGGATGTGGTGCTGTGGAGAGCCCAGACACAGCCTCAGCATCCAAACTGAAGAAGTTGCCCCAGTGAGAAAGAAGGGCTTCTCTCCACCCAGAGGCTGGATGTTCCCATGTCACAGGACTCCCACTGGGATTGCTGGGTGATCAGAGGAGAACAGAAAATAAAGAAGCCCTCATTTTCCACATTAGAGTGAAAAGGAGTGAGCTCTGACAGAACACAAACCAGCCAGACATGAACAGTCCCTGCTGGCGTCACCTAGGCACTTTCATTCTGAGGATCCATTATTTAAATCTTAAAATGCCTCTCTGAAATTCAGCAGAGATATTCCTGCTTTCAATAATACATTTACAATAATGCTTTCCTCCCTTCTTCAGACTTCTTTGAAATCAAGCACTGCAGCCAATGACATGTTGACAGTTTTGTATAAATTAATGAAAAAGAAGTTGGAAGTGGATGACCAAGATCTATTTATTATTATTAAACTGACCATGTATCCATGTTGCTCTTCTGAAAAGAAAATTAAGAGAAGAACTGGGAAAAAAAGCTCATTAAATGAATGATTCAGAATTTTTTCTGTACCTCAATCTACAGTACACAATTGTAAGAATCAAGGTTTCTGGTTTGAGGTGAAAATTCTTGCTCTCAATTGTAAGCAAGATTTCTTTCCTGGTATTGCTTAACATGCTGAGAAGATTCCTGCTGAATATTTTATTATATACTTTCTGATAAAAATCTAAAATGTAAAATCTTCCTGATCCAAGCACAGAAGTGACACCTAATCTTTCTGAAGCAATGCCCTGCACTCTGGAATGTGTAGAGTTGGAAATACGAGTCCTGTGAGTCTTGTGCTCCTGTCATTTGCATGCACTCCTGTTTCACAACCCTATTTCCTTTAACACCTCAGCCTTCCCTGAACATCCCGTGTTTGTGCTGGGCTCTGCCTGTGGCAATAACAGGCAAGGAGCAGGGCTGCCAGCAGCCAAGGGCTGGCACTGAGCAGCCAAGGGCTGGCATGCCACATGCCAGCTCAAACACGAGCGCTTCCCCTTGCTGCTCTCCTGCCTCTTGAGGCCAGCCAGCCAAAGATGGAATTTCTCCATTCCTGGAACATCTGGTGTAGGCTCTCAATGCTCGTAATTCTCCTCCCAGCCCTCTGCAGGTGCAGGGAAGTGCAGGGCAGGTTCTCTGAGAATACAGCTCTACAGTCCATCTATAAATCTTAGCCAAACACATGCCATAGGATTTAATGTGCATTTGTGTTTTTATAATTTTTGCTGAGAAAGCAATACCAGTTGGAATAATGTTACATTATAAGGTTATGAAGCCTTGGGCAAAATCTCCAGCTCTCAGTAAATGTAGGGCTTTCTATTGCAATAAAAACCTTCATGTCAGCATCTTAAGCTGCTGTATCACTTATGCCTTTACACTCAGTCAATTTTTACCTCTTCTCTCAACACAGGCTTTCACTTCTCAGGCATTTGTCTTCACCTGCAACTCCTCTCTCACCAGCCGACCCCTTGCTGTCCTCATCTCGCACGGCAGCTCCAGGAAAACCTTCCCATGTGTGGCAGTGCTCACTGGCTCTCAGACAGGCTCTGACCTGTGAATGTTGTGTGAGCCATGACCTGTTCCTCGTTTGGCTCAGCACGGCTTGCCTGGACAGATGGTGAGTAATGGCAAGCACCGCCTACTTGTCTTTCTGTGCCTTTCTCCATATGGTTCTCGTATTAGACCTGGAAACAAACTGGAACAGTTCTGTAAGCCACTTCAGCATACGAGTGAGTTCCTCATTTCCCCCAAGAAAATCATCTCATGGCAGGCGTGAGATGGTGCAGCATTAATATCTGCACATGTACACTGCATAATATCTGTAAATGTTCTGATACTGCACAGGATTACTCAGTCTAGGAAGTGGATAATGTCACTTGCTCCTTTTGGTGGTGGGAGGGGAGATAGTATTAAAGCAACCTGACATTAAAATGGATGGTTTTAGATGATAGATTTAGTTATATCCTCTTTGTGCTTAAAACGAACTGATTAAAAATGTCAAGATTTCAGGATCTAGGATAACATCTCAAAGGGAGCCTGAAAAGGTTCATGAGTCTAACTACCATTGTAAGAGACTCAGTGTCAAAGGCCAGAATTATTCCACAGATGTTTTTGATATACTTGTTTCTCAGTTAGTCACTTGGGACCAAATCCCCAAGAGAGAGCTACAACATGAGGGAATTTCTGTGTTGTGGGGTGGAGCACAGTGGTCCAGGCTGTTGAAGGCAATATAACACTGATTTAGGACTCAGCTGCACGGCTAATGCAGTCCAATATGGAAATGGGCTGGTGCAATTCCTGAATGGCCACAACCAGTTCCTGCTGAGAGCTTCTGCTTCCCAGCACATGGGACAAGAATGTATATTGTGGCTTCTAGCCATGTGAAGGTTTGGGTGCACAGCTCGTAGAGGTATGGAATCTGGCAACCATGAAAAGAAGGGATATTCATGGTGGAGACACCTGTCCCTACTCCAGTGGTTACTTTATGTATTTTAAATATTTTTTTTAATATCTTATTTACACTATAAATCTTACATAAGCCAGCCTGTGGGACAGGGGCTGGGATCCAGGTGTCTCTGCCCCTCAGTGAATGTTCCTACCACAAGGCTGTGGTGTCATAACTCACCGC